GATAGAGTTGGCCAATTGCACCGTGATCTGCAAATACCAGTAATTTATTAGATACTATTAGCTAACCAACTTGTCTCTATTTAATCTGCATATTTATTCATTATTAATATTACACACACATCTATTTTCTACTACAGAGAACACTTCTTTCAACATCTTCCTTGCCTTTTTATATAAAAAACAATAGAATAATTTGAGTCATGATTACTTTTCTTAAATCTTGCAATTGTAATTAAATTTCACACTGCATTTCCAACCTGAAATGAACATAAATCTGAAACCAATACATAACGTATAAAAATTTCCATATTCAAGTTCATGTTCAGCAACAGAAAAGAGTAACTTTTGTTTGTCTCTGAAAATGGCTTTCTTCATCTAAACAAATGACTAAAATAAAATTAAGAAAAACCTGTACTGGTTTCTTAGAAACACATATTCCAATTTCCTTTTGCACAATGACTTTTATACAAATGAATACCACACAATCTCCGGACCTCTTTTACCATCACACGGGGACAATGACAGTTCAATAATTGAAATGGTACATATCTGGTATATTTGATTTTAAATTGCAAAGTTGGACTTGGGCCTATTGAAATAAAAATACTTGTGACTCTTTATTAATTCCAAACTGATCAGGTTATTATTTCCTACTATGCAGGAGAGGGGAGGGAGCAAAAAGTAGGTGAAGCTAATTATTTTTTATTTCCTCTCCACATACTTTCCCCAACGTACCTCCTTGCATTCTCCTCCGCAAGCCCCTCACGCACCTTGATTTTAGTTTCTAAGCCTAATTCTTTCATCCATAACATGGATAATGAGAACCCCCCAAAAATGCTCCATGGGGGAATGTTATACTAAAAAGTTACCTAGGTCTAAGTCCCATGTGTGTTCTTTTGCTTACCATGGAGACAAGCATTTCATTCACTGTTCCCAGCCAAGTTGAAATCCAGATATGAAAACAGCATTACAGAATTCAGACAGACTATTCGGCTTCACTACTAGCAGATGCAGGAAGAAATAAGCTAGCCTAATTAAGCTTTTGACTTTGAACTAGCAAAGCTGTGAATACCTCGCTTAAAGAAATACATATAATATTATAAGAACAGCTGAAGTACAGGTGTTGCAAGAGTATTATTAGCATGTGCTTCATAGGACAATGGCTCCACCAATCAAATGACGAGAAAAAACTTGTCCATATAGAGCCAAGAATAAACCAAACCATAAATCTAAACTATATACTATAAACTAAAGCTAAGTCTCATTAGATTGTTCTCAGTGTAAATGTATGGTATAAAGTAGTTTTCACTGTATCTTTTTTTTCCCTTTTTTGTGCTCTCGACAAAAAATGTGGGATCATTTAAGAGAGAGACCAAACTGCAATGCCATCTTTAAAATGTAAGTTAAAAGCAAATGCATTTCTTGCATATCTTCTTTCATTTAATTGATAAGTCCATTATTCATCCTCCAAATATATACTGAGGACCCATAAAGGAAATATCAATTCACTACAATTGTAAGAGGATACAAAATTATGAAATTAGATAATCATAAAATATAATAAACTTGGTAGAGAAAACATACTGTTAACACAAAAAAACTTTAAGTTGCAATGCCAGCTATACATTTAGCATTTATTAGCCTCACTTTGAATATACAATCACGGTATTAAAAGAGAAGATTAAGGGCAATCTGCAGTTTCATTTTATTGTTTTCATTTCCTAAACCAATGTTGCTTCCTTGTTACAATTTTTTTGGAAGAAAAAAAATCGAAATTTAATAGTCCTTGGCATTTAAGAGTTTCAGAGAATTTCACTTTAAGAAATGAGTAAGATTTTCTTAAGACAACAAAATTCCTTCTTAAAAAAAAAAAAAAAACAAAAAACTAAGGAAAATAACACTGCCAAAAATGAATACAGCTTTGTTTGTTTTTGCAGTCATCGTTAGCAATAGACATAAAGGTATTCTTTTTTTGAGCCCATATGGAAAGATCATCAACACATTCTGCCTCTGGGTTCTTTGCCAAAATACCATAACCCACAAGCCTTCTACCTTAAACATAAAAGGAAAGGTGTTGTTCTGGTCAAATAAAGAAATAATTTTTACTAGCATACGTCTAATGTTAAAGCTGCCTAAATCCTGCCAAATACATTAAAACAACATCTGTAAAACAGATTTTCATTAAATTGATCAGTTTAACGTTAAGCAGCTAGGCAGATGATGCTTTTAAGCTAAACCTTAACCTTTAACCTTTCACCTCCTTAAACTAGAATAAGGAACCACACTTATTTTGGGTTTTAAGCTTCAGTTTGACAATTCAAGAAATAAAGTGGTCTATTTAAGTCAAATTGACACATCAACACAGTTAGAATGTTATGAATCAATATGTTGTCAATAATGAGAAAAGCTGTTTGCTTGCAGCTCTGTATTCATCTTATAACCACTACTGTCAGTTCCCCTTAAAAGTCTAAATAATTCACAATGCAAAATGATGTAAATTAAACTCCTAATGAAAATGAATTTTATGTAAGAAATTATTGTCTAGTCATTAACTCAGGAACTATTTTAAGTCTAATTTCAACATTTTAGCTATATTACAAACCATCATTTCTCCAGACACGAGCCAATTTCTTAGGTTCTCATTTAAAAGCAATTAATGTTACTTATGAACCAATTTTATTTTACCAACAGAGGCTACCAAGCTTGATAATATCCTCACCACTGCCCTTTAAAATCCTCTATTTCTGACTCCCTCGGTCTCTGTAAGTCAGTTTAGAAGTTCCATCTTTAACGTGCAGCAATTCTGGAGTGTTTTCTTACTTACTATGAGGCCAAAGCCACCATAATGTACCTTGAGCAGTAGTACAAATAACATAATGTAATTGTTACACTAAGTTTTAATAGCTCTAATATTCATATCTTCAATTATGGTAGTTTTGTTCCAACTAATTGTTAGCTGTTTATGACCATGTGCACATGAGACATTATAAGGAAACTAGGGCATGAATTTAAAATATAAACAAAAAGAGTGGGGGTGAATCCATTTTTATATGATTTCATTTTTTTTTTTAAAGTTAGGACATACTCATTGATTCTGGGCTCTAAAGCTCTCTGCTTTAAATAGTCTTCATAATAACCAATCTTTTCATGTCAATCAGTTGTTATATAGTCAGAGATTATCTTTAACTCTCCCTGTAAAATAACTTTCAGGCGTAACTAAACACCTAGCAAATTGCTCTGCACAGAGCTACGTGGTCAATACACACTATCAGTAGATATATAATTTATATACATACACATATAAATAATCATCAAACAATTAGATTAAATAGCCTTTCCTAGCAAAATAAATAGTAACACTCTACCTTTCTTTAGGCTCCCACATGAGATTCATAAAATCGAAAAATTTGTGCATTTATATCTTCTATTCACAACATGTTAATTTAAAGTGTTAGAGGAGCTGCGTGAATATAAACACATCTCATGAATATTCTATATAGCTCCCAGGGTCTAGATCTATTATTTATACAAACTTAATGTTTGCTTCCCCCCCTCTTCTTCTAGAAGTTTTAATAGGTCAGGTATCAACAGAAAAAAGGACAATTGAATAGTTGTCAGCCATTGCTGCAAAACCTATGAATTATAATACAATTAATCCTTTATATTATATTTTCAATACTATCAACTTAGAGGCCTTCCATCTTACATTAGGACCTATACTCCCCTCAAACTGTGTAACCCAAATCTAATGCTTTCATTATTGATTCACAGAGCGTCAATACCACAGGAACAATTTTACAAATTCTCACATGGAGAGTCTTTAGGAATTTATGCCCAGTACATCAATCTAGAATTTGAACTTTAAGAAACAACTGAAACAAACATAACTAGACCAATCCAAATAAATAATTCCTGCCTCGAATTTAGACAGCCACAATCTGTTCTTTATTTCATTGTGTGCTTGTAATTTGAAATAACATTAGAAAAGCCATAGGTATTATAATCACTAGTTGACTCCTGATAGTATAGTTATCACTGATTTCTAGTATAAATCAATAGATAACACTTGCAAAATGGATTTTGTAATCATATTTAGAGCTTGTTACAATGACTAATGGTTTGCAATATTCCCTGAATTTTAATATTCTCCAGACAAAAGGACTTTTTAATAAGTTACCAAGTTATTCATCATAGAAATGAATGTGTTACAATTCTATAGGAACCAAGACAATCAAGCCAATCCAGTAAACAAACTGCAGAAAATAAATTACCCACTAATTAGGGTTTAGAAAAAGTAAAAACAAGTTAGGCAATAAATACGTGTTCATCACTTGCACATATCCATTATATCTGCATGGGGATTTTTCTCAGTAAAGACAAAAATGCATTTGTCATTTTATAAGCATACCTGTTTACGCATACCCTCTGAAATTTTGAGAAACAAACAAAACAAGATTAAACTATTCTAGCTAAAAAAAAAAAAAGGCTTGCAAAATATACCAGGGCTTAGTTCTAATGACTTTCTATTAATGCGTAGAGAGAGTGTGTGTTTTCAAGAGTACTGACTATGTACACCCTAGGAAAAAAAAAAAAAATTCATATGTTTTGATTATTTTTGTTGGTCACAATAAAAGATGATGTATTCAGAGGTAGTGCATTACCTCTGCCCCTGTAACCATTAACACTTGACCAAGAGTCGTATTTTTTGAAAATTCAATAAATAAGAGAGACTTTGAAAGGATTCTTTTATATATAAAATATACAGAAAAGTTCTTTTGCTGCAGGAAACAAATGAAGCAATAGATACCACTGTAATTTGTAACTGGGGCGTTTGTCATTGAAATAAAGTCTCCCATTCCAGACATATAATTCAAATCTGCTTTTAACTCTTCCGTTTCTCCCTCATTTTCACCCTTAACTTGCAAGACCTGTGCTCCAAGTTCTGAAACAGTTAATCTCCTCTATACTCTGTGCCAATGGATCAGGATGTCACTGCTTACCTTGTAGAGCTTCAGGGCCGCCTCGTGCCTGTGATTGGTGGTATGCAAGCGTAATTTATCCACACTGTTGGTGTAGTAGTCACAGGCATTACATTTTAGGTGAACGGGGTTGCCAATGGCGATACACTTCAGCCTCCACTCATTGCTTTTGCCCCCTTCTTTAATGTGAGCCACCAGTTGATATTTCTGCATATGTTTATCAGTCTTGCAGTGGAGCTGGAAGTTGGCTTTGAGCTGAGTATTGTAGTTACAGAGCTTGCACTGGTAGATATCTCCAATTACAGCCCTCCATTCCTCTTCAGGGAGAGCGCGTTCACTGCTCACATGCACACTTAGGGCCTCCAGGCTGTCAGAGGTGAATTTGTTGCAAACAGCACACTGGAATAGCTTCAGCGCTGGGTCACTGATATAAGGTGACAGCTCTCCTGCAGTAAGGAGGGACAGGTCATCACCCATTAGCTGACCACTGGCAAGCCGGATTTCAGGCGGCAGCTCATTATTTACTACAGGAAAAAAAAATTAAAAAGAAAAATAGAGACTAGGAAACAAAGCACACACAAAGGAATCTGTAAAATAAAGTCTTGACAAGGAATGTGCTTTCTCTAGAGCTTAAACTATAAAAAGCTGTAATAGGATTGAATCAGGATCAATTACAATCATCCCTTTCAACTTCTAAATTCCCTCATCAGATAGCTTTAATTACTCCTACCGGGCATGATGTCATTCTGAAATTTGTATTTTTGAGGGCAGGAGCGTTGATCAATACTATAACAAAACAGTCATGTGCTTGCAATTTAAGAGCCCAGATAAACTTACATAAGCACTAATTGTTATTTCCTAATTTGTCTTAAAGCTTGATGAGATTTGGCTAATACTGTACACGTGCCTGTAATCCACTGCCAATACCTGGTGCAAAGTGCTATCTTTAACTCTCTATCATCACAGGCCTTAATATTTGTTTCGAATAGATCTAATTTGACCGCACAGCACTCTGAAGCATCTCAAACCCGCCATCTGCACGAGTACCACCTGGTTGGAAGCCACAGCCCTCTGACGTACGGCTGTTGATCGCATCGAGCCAGGGGAAACGAGCAGGTGCTCATCAAAGTGGTGCATGGAGGAAGACAGTGTGTGCTCACATCTCTTACGCTGCCCTTGAGCTTTAACTATTTCGTCTCTGAAGCTGATTTCAGGTTTGCAGTGGAAACCCAAACCCAGCTGAGTTCTGAAAGCTCGGCTCCAAGACAAGATAGCAAGTCCTTTCGCTAGCCGGCCATGCCCACTTTGTTGGCGGCTCGGCCCTTTCACTGGGTGTCATCACACCAAATCAACATTTGTTGAGAAACTAAGAGTAGGCGTGCCAGGAAAAGCAGTACATACTAACCAAGTCCCGGTGCCAGCGCAGATGCTGTGGCGGGGTCGAGCTGGAAGGGGTTGAGCATCAGCTGAGAGTCGGCAGGGTTTTCCAGCTTCATGCCGGTCAGGCCTATGTTCTGTGCCAGGTAGTACTGGTAGAGTTCCGCCTCGGCCGGCGCCAGGCCCAAGTGCAGGTTATGCTGGATCTGCTTCATGTTCTGCTGCAAGAGCATCATGTTGTGCATGTGCTTCTCGCTGGTCATGTGGATGCGGAGGTTCCTGGCCACGTTGGTTTCATAGTCACACACCTCGCAGCGCCAGGTGGGTTTCTGTTTGGGTTTGGAGGGCGAGGGCGTCCCACAGCCACTGAGGCTGGGGTTGGGGGCTGGGGCGGAGTGGCCGAAGACCTGCTCCCCGTTGCCATTTTGGAGATTCTGGACGTTGTTCAGGTGCTTGTCTGACTGCATATGAATACTGAGGTTGCCTTTGGTAGTGGTAGAGTAGTTACAAACCTCGCAGCGGAAGGGTTTATAGCCACACGTGTAGCTCTCTCCCCGGGCGAGCCTGGGGTGAGGCTGTCCAGTCTTGCAATAAACGCAGGAGCCTCCCGGCTCCGGGTGTTTCTCCTTCATGTGGGCCTCCAGGGTCTGCTGATACTTGTAGTGCCAGTTGCACTTGGGGCATTTGAGGGTTTTGCAGGAGTTCCTGGAATGCATCATGGTCATGTGACCCCCCAGAGACCTCGAGGACCCCAGGACCGTGTCACACTTGGGACACTCGATGCCACTGCCCGGGGAGCCGTCTCCTGCAGGCCCGGGCGTGCCGGGGGTGCTCGGGGTGAAGCCATGCTGGTGAGGAGTAGCTGAGCTGTCGTCGTCTCCCCGGGCCGTTTCATTTGGGTGAGCAGCTGGGGCACTGTCCTTGCTGGCAATTGCATCCGCGAAGTCCTTGCCCCCGATGCTGTAGTTATTAGCAGCGCCGCCGGCCCTGGCAGCCGCCGCCTGCTTTTTCTTCTCTGCGTCCTCGGAGACAGCAGCCGAGGTGGACGAGGTACCCTTTTCAATAAATTTTAGCACACTGGATGATAAAGGAGAAATGCTTTGGTTTAAGAGAGGGAAATCTTTGCTAGCAATACTATCGGTGAGTTCCCCTAACACTTCCTCGTCGTCGAGTTCGTTGGAGTAGGCGTCGTCTTCGTCCTCCTCTCCCGGTTCTGGGGGTTCACTCTTGACAGGGCACTCCCCGTTGGGGTGCAGCGCACTGCCTTCTTTTGGCCTCTCACAGTTGCTCTCTTGGTCAACTTGGCTCTCTGACATCTTGCTCGATTCCGACGATGAGTGGCTGAGGGAGACGGAGGTAATCGGGGTGTTCACTACTAAACTAGACAGCCCCCCCAGATTCACTTCGGCCTTTGGCATCGGGGTGACCCCGAGCGGCTGCTCGGCGGAGCTCGGGGCGCTCACGCTGCCTTTCAGGAAGGCAAAGCCAGCCGGCAAAGAGTCACCGTTTTCAACATGAAAAGCGCTCCATAAACCGCGGAAGGTGGGATCGGGTCCTATGAGGTTTGTAGTAGAAAAATGGGGATACACAGAAGTGGATTTTTTTGGTTCCAGAAAGCTTATAAGAGGTTCTTTGTCTTTACCAATCCCCTGTATTATGGCGGACACGCACTTGTTGCCGAGGAGCTTCTGCTCCTCGTCGTTGAGGGTCATCCGATGGTCGTGCACAGCGTGGGTTACAAAGGACCGGATGTAGCCGAAGGACAGCTTGCACAGGAAGCACATGAGCACGGGCTTCCGCTTCCCATCGCTGACACACCCATCGAACTTGGACAGGTCCACACTGGGGGGGACATCTTTGGACACACAGGAGTTTTTGGCTGAGCCGTCACTGGTGAGATAGTCTTTCTCTCGCTTGTGTCGGAGATCGTAGACACGGAAACTGTGCAACACAGGACCGACTCCTGCTAGTGCTGAGGTATTTGGGAAAGCCTGATCGGCTGTAAATGGTTTCCCGAGGGATGAAGCGATATGAAAAGTGTTGATGATCTGTGGGTAGAAGGACATGGGCGCGGACGCAGGCTGCTCGCTCTTCTCGCCAGCGGGCGCCAGGGCGTCCAGGAACATCGCCGTGGAAAAGAGTTTGCTGCTGGGCCCAGTCTGTGCATTCTGCCCACTTTCTTTGGAGTCCTCGATTATATATGCTGACCCGTCAGGCTGGTAAACAATCTCCCCGGTTAAGTTCTCCACGTCACTGTCCTCTAACTCGCTGACTTCACTCTCGTTGTCATCCTTCAAGACGGGAAGGCGGGCATTAGGGCAGTGGTGTTCCATGTATTTCTGTAAACTGGGAAAGGAAGTGGCACATTCGTTGCAGGGTATCTCCTTTGCTGAGGTGACCTGAGTGGCAGCTGCATTCTCCACACTGAAACCCAGCAAGACTTCACTTTTGCGCTCATCCGTTTTCAGGTTGTCATCCGTGGGGCTGTTTTCCCTGTCAGCCTCCATCCCTGCAACTTTCTCTGGCACCTCATTATCAAGTTGTGTCGTTCCACATAGCTTTGATGTGCTCTGCCCATTTTCCTGCCTTGAGATAGGAGGGGAGTCACAGGTTTCCATGGCAATTGCTACATGGGGATCTCATTTCATCCAGCCTGTCAGGGACCTGGATAAAAAATAAGGTGAGAGAAGCCATTTTTATTAAATAATGACACAGCTCACTAATAGCCCATCACTAATTTACAGCTGCTGTAAACTTGACTATCTAAAAAGGTGAGGGCTAAAACGCAAAACCCACACGTCCATCTATCACAGACAGACTTTGGATAAATGTAGCAAAATAATGTAGATAGCTATCACCGGCATGCCTGCACATCCAGAGTGTTTTTGAAATTGCCATGAGTATTCATCATAAATCTAAAATTTCTATCAGGAGTCCTGATTTTCCTTCCAGTCCCAGTTTCGGGGGGGTGGGGGGGAAGTATATCTACGGTATAAGCAAGATGCTGGAAAACCCACTTTACCCAGAATAGAAATGTAAATGGCTTTTATATATTGAGGCAGAAGAGAAAGAACAATACACACACCTTAACACTTGGTAAAGAATTTACCTTTGACTCTATCAGGAGTCAACTGCAAGGGGAATGAGTGTGGGAGGAAGGCTAGCCAAAATAGGACTTTTAAAATTAGAAATATGACAGTCACAGGCAACACAGACCAAACTCTCCTCTGGTTTTCATTTTGCCAGTAAATCAGCTTACTACAAATCTTCCGTGTGCAAAAGCTCTCAGCAGGTATCTGGCTGGCCCTGATTAAGCACCAATCACAATTCTTCCCCACACTTCAGTCACCTCAATGGACAACAGAACAGAAATTAATATTTACTGCAGTCACATTCACCCAGGGGTTTTTGGTGGGTTTGGGTTTTTTTCTTCTTATTCTTCTCTTCGCTGCAATATGTAATGAACACCATTTCAAACACCATTTTGATGTTATCAGGCCTGGTGAGTTGCCAATCTCTCAGTCACTATCTCAACTGGCATCTCCCCTGGCTTAACAAATCATAGGCAAGCACTACCAATGGAAATTCTTATTTTATTTTTTTTCTTTCTTAAGATTTGGGGTTGGTTTTGTTTTGTTGGGTTGTTTTGCTTTGTTTTTTCCCAGGTGGTCATCTTAGACCATAAACACCCTTTGTTGAGATTGAGATGCACTTCATAAAGTCAGGACAGTCTCTGGCAGTGAAGTACCAGGGGAAAGTTGGGCACACATCAGTATAAAAAGTATCCCGTCTCTCTCTTTCTCTCTCTCTGTCTCTCTCTCTCTGTCTCTGTCTCTCTCTCTCTCTCTCTCTCTCTCTCTCTCTCTGTGTGTGTGTGTGTGTGTGTGTGTGCATGCACGCGTGCCAGGAAACCTAAGATACTGTAATAGCAGCTTGATTACAGCTTAAGCTTCTCTGAGTCCCTGCAGATCTCTCCGTTTGCAGAGTGATGGCACTGTACACAACAGCTGAGTGGTGTGAAACTTCAGTGTTTATTTTCAGCCTGTGATATAGGCCTAGTCTTGATTTTATGAGGCAAGAAAGCAACCTTCTTTCAAATCTTAAAATTGAAGGGATATGTAACTCCAAGGCAAATAACCCTTTAATTTAAAAATATACAAACTCTCACTTATTGTGACAATGTCTGAACCCAAGAAGGTTGACAGAGTTACATTTACAGCTGTATTTTATATTGTGTCTGACAGACATGCAAGATCTCAGCCTGAATGCTCCTCCCACCCCAAGCTCTTCTATAAAGTTCTCACAGTGGTAGATAGCTTAGAACCAAACAAAACTGTGGGCTCACCAACATTCCTACACACAGAAGTTCCTTTTTAGAAGCTCTTAGAGAAGAAGGCATCAATGAAGGTCACTGACATAGTAAGCATGAAGATTAGCTTCTTAACACTCTTGTACTGTAATCAAATCTAATCTAGTCAGGTAAACCAGAAAGGAAGTGATAATTTCAGAATACCTCAAAAGATCTGAATAGATTGAAAATGAAAGAAAAATTCATTTTGGTATCTGAGATGGTTAAATTGACATTCTAATTGCTCACGAATCAAATATCACAAAGCTTAGTGTGTAATTTTAATCATTGATGAGCTCCAGGTTAATTATCCTCCTAGCATGCATGCAGCTTTTAAAACCCTCTGAAATAATCTGATAACCATAAGCATGAAAACCTAATAATTTTCTAATTACTCTGCAAACATTAATGTTTACCTTCACACTTATGATTCTGTACAATCATCAAATACATACTGAAGGCAGGGAAATGTATAAAATATACTCCCCTGCTAGGCTGAAGGAAGTGAGGAAGCTAGAAGAGACTAGGGATTTAGTAGGGATGCAAGATGAAAAATATACTCAATTAATGATCTTAAATTAAAATGTAAAGTTCCAGAATCAAAAGTAGATCCCCAACTCCATTAAACAGAAATTAGCTTATGATGCATGCTCCATCTGATTTGTATGAGAGGAGTCACTTTACGTTTAAAGAGTGAGAAAAATACCTCTTTTACAACTCTTAAAAAGAGCCTCTGAGCTTTTCATTACTATTGTTGTCTGAATCCTATTTTATCTGTAGGCCTACAAGAATTTTCAACCCACAAAGTCCCTTCCAGAATTATCGCCCATGTGCTGTAGGCACTTCAAATGAATTGCATATAATGTCCAATTAATAATTTTGGCCAGATGCTGAAATAACTCTGCAATGTATCTCTTCTATATAAAGTCGATTATATCAATGGCTTCCAAAAAGTTTACAAACCATTATTGCCACAAGAGGAAAATATATACAAATGACATTTAAGAATTTATCCCAGGTCTAAGCAATCCAGTAAGCTGTATTTTGTTACAACACTCACATGAAATTGTATGCAAAATTGCCTATTAATATTTCTTAATAAGCTACATGTTAATCAGAAGATAAGTCAAATTTTGTCTCCCCCTATAAATAAGTTTGTATTTCATTCCAAAGCCAACAATAACAAAACATCTGAATTTATAACTGATTTTTATATACTCTACCTTTTACTATAATCATGGCAATGTTATCACTATATTTTAATGAGATTAATTCATGCAGTTAAAAGCTTGTAGACTAGCATGGACAATGACAGGCAATATAATGCTAAATTATTTCACTGTCACCCATATCAAACAAGATCTTTCTTTTATCTAGTAATCCATGTAGGCAAACTTACCCTAAAGTTTTATAAGTCCCAGAAAGGGGGGGAAAAAAAAACCAGAAAACAAAAAACACCACAAAGACTACTATTTAACTTGAACTACAGAATTCATTCCAAAATGATTGTATAGCAAGTTAACTTATTATAAAAGTTGGCTTGCACTTTAAAATTCTTTTATTGCCATTCTATTCTTTAAAAATCACTAAAGTCCTCCCCCCAGAATTTCTGAAACAACATCTAATTTTAATACAGTTCAGAGCAATACATACCTGCTGGTCTGCTTAGAATATGTATAGACCTTTTTTTTTTTTCTTTTTTTTTTTTTTTATTCTCAGTAATTCACAAGCTCAGTGACTTTAATCATGTAAATCCCTTTTTTCGGAAATAATGGACAATATGCAGAAAATAACTTTTATTGCTCCCTCTTTCTGCTTTGCTTTCGTCCTGGAGTCACAGCTGCCTAAACTCTGCTCTGCTAAATGGCCAAACCCACCTACAAGGAGCCTGGCTAATGAAAGGGGGTGCTTTTTGAACAATAGAATTCCTCTGCATTCACAAAGCAGAATTCCCATTAGAACCCAAAATCAGAGAGGCCAGTTTTACCTCTGTTTTTTAATTGAGATTGTCCGAGCCCTCCTCTACGGTCCAGTGAGACAGTGTTTGAGAAATGATTTAAAAAGAATGTGATCTGATCAAGAGGACAGAATAATGGGAAAGGAATGCTAGGTTAGTCACTCTGCTAAGTGCTGAGAAAGGAGACCAGTGGGCTCCTTAGCCCATTGTTTTTATTCTCATCTGTTCTCTAACCATCTCACACAACTTTGAGTCTTTCATTTACTCCATTTGAAAAAGGACAAAAGTTGTCCACTTACAAGAGGATATGGTAACAAGTTACCAATCTTAGAAATAAATAAATAAATAGAAATCCTTGAATTATATCAAGTTTCCAAAAGGTCATCACTGTCTCTGCTGTGGCCTTTTCCCCATTCCAAATCCTCTATCAATATGTCATAGTGAGTTAGGCAAAGACAAAAGAGAGGCTCAGTGTGAAAACGGCACATATATCTAATCCTGACAAAGCAATGAATAGACCTTCACAAGTATAATTATACTTGTTTATTTGTTGCCACGTACAGAGGACTGATGAAAAAAAATCCATCAAAGTGGTATTATGCAGACACCAAGAGCTTCTTTTCTTTGGTTGCTAAAGCCACATTGAGGCTTAAATTCTTTATTGTTAAATTCAGAAGAAAGAAAGGGGGGAAAAAGATTTTTGGCTGGACTTTTTTTTTTTTTCATCAGTTGCTGACAGATCTTTTGTGTACAGTGCTGTATTAGCTCACATTGCTACCTCATTTTCACCCATGCTGGAATCCATAATTACAAACTACTGTACATCAGCTTGTAAAAGGGTGTGGTATGCTGACCAAAAGAAGAGGCAGCGAAATTGCCCTTTTCTCACAACCTCTCTTTTGATACATCAAAACACAGGTAAAGTACCTGAGAGGAAGCACCAGTTATGTCAGAACACATCTTTGATCTCAGTCTTTTAAGTTGGGGCTAGTGGTTTTCTTTAAGACAGCTTTCTCTGCAATTTGCTTATTTTAGGAGATGTTTAGTATTTCATAAAAGATTGCATCACTTCTTTCCCATAGCAGTATTTAAAAGCCTCAGCAGAGAGGAAAGCAAATGCAAGTATGTCAAAGATTGAAAATATTAAACAAAAAGGTTTTAAACCCAACTGTTAAGGAGTTACTATGTTCCAAGGAACATTGACTCAAATAACTTAACAAAAATCACATTTTTAAAGGGGGGGGGAGCACAAATAAGCTTTTTCTTTTCTTTTCCCTTGCAGGATAGACATATATCAAAGTAAAAGCAATCTG